CGTACTAGTGTACTAGCGTACCAGCGTACTAGCGTACCAGCGTACTAGCATACCAGTGTACTAGCGTACCAGTGTACTAGCGTACTAGTGTACTATCGTACTAGTGTACTAGGTCTACTAGCGTACCAGTGTACTATCGTACCAGTGTACAATTGTACTAGCGTACTAACATACCATCTTACTAGTGTACGAATAAAAATGCCGATGGATTGATATTGTTATCTTGGCTGTATGTGATTAAAATGCCTGACTAATGGGGACAAATTGTGTGGAGAATATAAGGTAAACATATGCCCAGCCCCCAAGGGAAATTTTAACACCAACTTAACAACTAAAATTGCATAGTAACAGAATTATATTCTTTTGAATTTGTAAGAATGTGATCAATGCGCCAGGCTTCCCCTGTAAGACATTGATAGGTGCATTATGAACATGGAACTAACCCAAGTGATGCTATCCAGCGATATAAATCGTACTCCATGTACGTGACGTTGCTTATTTCTACAAGGTCACTTTTTGTAGCACAAGGGTAAAAATGTCGCCCGTTTCGTCAGTGTATCTTGTTATGCCATACTTGATATTGCAAGTACGGCATTTCAATGTCACCTTGGATGAAGGGACTGGTCCYTTTATACCGTAAACCACGGCCTTTGTGGGTGGATTGTAGGTTGACAAGGCACGACCGCATGACAGGCACTCTTTAACTGGTGGAGCTAAAAACCTATTGTATAAGTTCTCCTTCTCTCTGGAAAGATTCCACAAACTCTCATGGAATGTTTCGTCGTCGCACTGATACAGGAATGACGGACAATAACTTTCGAGAAATCGAACATATGAAATATTGTAAAGAAACTCTACTCGCAGCGATAAACCTTTGCTTTTACTTGTTATGCAATAGCTTTGTGGTACGTGCCTCAATATCCTTCTAAAAAGAAGGACAGTTCTAAATGATATCTTTCCCGATATCAATAGCAGAGAATCATCCTCTGTGATCTCGATCTGCCTCGCCAGAATCTCATCTAGGTCGATGTCCTTGACAGCTCTGATGACCAGTTCCACTTTTTGCTCTAAAAAACACTGTTTCCAAGCTTCTTCTCTGACACTATCAGGCATAAATTGAGAAGCTCTCACCTTCTTTCGCTTCAGCGCCATTTCAAGCAAGTACCCTTGTCGCTCTTACTGCGTATGAGTCTGCGCATGAGTCTGCTGTACGAAATTAGATGCGAACGCTAGCCATTACGCTAGATCGTTAGTACATTAGTATAGTAYGCTAGTACTAGTGTACTAGTGTACTGGTACGCTAGTATGCTAGTACACTGGTATGATAGTACACTAGTACGCTAGTACGCTAGTACACTGGTACGCTAGTACGCTAGTACGCTAGGACGCTAGTACACTGGTACGCTAGTACACTAGTACGCTAGTACACTGGTACGCTAGTACGATAGTACACTCTGGTACGCTAGTACACTGGTACGCTAGTACGATAGTACACTGGTACACTGGTACGCTAGTACGATAGTACACTGGTACGCTAGTACACTAGTACGCTA